AAAATAAACAAAATAATATATTGTGTTCATTTATTACAAGATATTATGATGTGTGTGTGTGTGTATATGTGTATATATATATATATATTAGGGATGCTCCGATTAGGATTTTTGCAACCGATACTGAGTGCATGGTGTACTTGTCATGGTGATCGGCCGATACCGATGCCGATTCTGATGCTTCAAGCTTTATACAGACGGTTTCATCAGGCGCATGCACCTGGCCCTAAGTTAAAAGAAGTTTCTTATGCTCATTAAGGCTGCATTTATTTGATCAAAAACACAGAAAAAAACTACAAATTTTTCGACTACAATTTTTAGAAAATGGTTTTCTATTTTAATATATTTTAAAATATGCTTTATTTCTGTGATTCAAAGCAGAATTTTCTTCAGCCATTTCTCCAGTCTTCAGTGTCACATGATCCTTCAGAAATCATTCTAATCTTACCTTTTTCAGGAGCGTGTGTTTTCAGGATTCTTTGATGAGTGAAGCTTGAAAGTTTTCAAAATACAAATATTTTCTTGCAATATAAGTCTTTACTATCACTTTTCATCTATTTAACACATCCTTGCTGAACAAAAGTATTCAAAAAAAAGAAAGAAAAAAACTACTGACCCCAAACTTTTAAACAGTAGTGTTTATTGTTACAAAAGATTCCTATATTAAATAAATGCTAACCTTTTTTTCCATCAAATAAGCTGTTACTGGGGAAACCTGTTTCTCCCGCTTTAAAGCACCTCCTGCTGCCAGAGAATGAATTTGCATTTTCAGTAAGTCTGTCTGATTTACGCAGCAAACATATTTTGCTTTTCCTAAATCCACGGGCGCTGCGAATAATGCAATAATAAAATGCAATAATAAAAAATGCATTCTGATTATTTGCGGGTGGGTCGCGGAATGCTAACCTTTTTTTCCATCAAATAATCCTGAAAAAAATTCACAGGTTCAAAAAATGTTTTTTTTTAAATCATGTGACATTGAAGACAGGAGTAATGGCTGATGAAAATTCAGCTTTGTTTAACACATCCTTGCTGAACAAAAGTATTCAAAAAAAAGAAAGAAAAAAACTACTGACCCCAAACTTTTAAACAGTAGTGTTTATTGTTACAAAAGATTCCTATATTAAATAAATGCTAACCTTTTTTTCCATCAAATAATCCTGAAAAAAATTCACAGTTTCAAAAAATGTTTTTTTAAAAATCATGTGACATTGAAGACAGGAGTAATGGCTTATGAAAATTCAGCTTTGCATCACAGAAATCAATTGTATTTGAAAGTATATTAAAATAGAAAACCATTATTTTAAATTGCAATAATATTTAATATTTAAAAATCTTACTGATCCCACACTTTTAAATGGCATGTCTATATACAGTAGTTATATATTTGGTAGAAGACAGGGTGGGATGCATGTACACACAATCTTCTATCAATCACAATCTCCCATTTTCTTCAGAATATGTAAAGATGTCATTTTCCTTAAATTTTCCATGAGATTGCACAAGGGTAAATCCAGCACACTGAACTCCTCCCAGTATAGCAGCTGAATCAGTTTCCTACATCTCTCTCGCACATGCAAATATAGCTCAGCTTCATGCATGGCTGGCCCCCTTTGGGAAACAATTTAGCGTTTCAGTTTAGTCACACGAGATGAATGTCTTTCTATTCATCTCACCAGCATTAGAGTCTTCTCACTCCTACAACCTAATTCAGGAATTCTACAAAGCTGATTTGTTAAAGGATTCCAAATGAAGGATAGTCATTTGTTTGTGCTTTTAGGCGTATTGTGGGTCATTTACTAACAATTATAGGCTGTATATACCAATATTTACAGGAAGTTCTTTGCTAATAGCAAACATGGGCCGTGCAGTTTGCTTGCAGCCTTCATTAAACACTGAGGGCCTCATGTATAAAACGTTGCGTAGACACACAGTCCAGAGTGTGCACACATTTCAGGCTCAATTTGGGTTTACACAATGCTTATACTGTACATCATGACAGTTTGCAGTAATTAAATGGAATATCCCAGCTATGCAATGAAGGGCAATAATTTACCACGATTGCATTTCTTCTATACTTTTACATTAATGTAGTTTGGCTAGGGAGGCAATTTCATCAAAAAAAAAAAAAAAAGTAATTAAAAGACAGTACTGAACAAAAATGCAACTTTAACAGATCAGATAAGAAAAACAATTATGTTCTAAAACATTTCTGATATTACTTCTGAATGTTTTTTTATGTATTAAGATTTATGTATGTTCTTCTTGTGAATGTTAGACGAACATTCCATTTTAATCGTTTTGAAAATGTTATGAGAATGTTACATTTGAATGTTCTCTCAACATTTAAAACACCTATTTTTTAAAGAACATTTTTTATTAGTTTTGCAAACGTTAGAGGAACATTCCATGCTATTATTTTCAAATTATTATGAAAATGTTATTTCTGTATGTTCAAAAATGTTCAAAAAACATCCAGTGTTTTATTTATTTTTAAAGAGAAGAGAACCTTTCTTCTTGGTTATGCAAACATTAGCGGAACATTCCATCTATCATACATTTTGAAAATGTCATGAGGTTGTTACATTTTAACAATCTCTCATTGTTTAAAACACCCAGTTTTTTATATTTGAAGAATGTTTTAATAAGCCACATTATTTCAAAACATTTTATAAAAATGTAATTTCTGAATGTTTTTTTTTTTTTATGTTCAAAACGTCCAGTTTTTTTTTTTTTTTATGTATTACGAATGTTTTTTCTTGGTTATGCGAAGGTTAGAGCAACATTGCGTCTTATCTTATATTTTGAAAACGTTATGAGAATGTTACATTTAAATGTGTTCTTACTATTTAAAACTTATTTAAAGCACTTTTTTTCTTGTTTTTACAAATGTTAGAGGAACTTTCTACTTTCCAGTTTTTTAAATGTTCAAAATGTCCAGGTTTTTAAATTTATTCAGAACATTTCCTCTAGGTTACGTGAACGTTAGATAAAAACTTTAATATTTTGAAATCATTCAGAATGTGACAATGGTTGAGAATTCTTTCGATATCGAAAACACCCTTTATATATTTTAAAAACATTTCATTTCAACATTACGAGAACATAAAATGGTAATAATAAGAGTGTTTCATAAACATTATTTTGGGAATGTTTTGCCCTGACATTTACACAACCTTTAAAATTGTTATGGGAACGTTCCCTGCTAGCTGGGAGAAATTTACATAAAAGTATGGTTTTAAAGCATGATTACATATTCAGTCGCATTTGCTTTTCCTAACTGTATGACATAATTTAAATAGTTCCAAATGTAGCTCATATCTCACTAATGTAGAGTATTTATACTTGTTTTTGAGCAGATCACACACATGCAACTTTCATTAAACAGACACTGAGAGGTGACGCACATATATAATCAGACATATCATGAGCTCGGGTCTCGTTCACTAATCGTGCGAATCTGTGTACAAGTGTTTTCATGCACAAATCATGATTCATTAATAACTCTCATTTAGATGTGTTTTAGGAAAATTCAGGCACATTCACTCATTATAAATACTCCTAATCAAAATCAAAAGGATCAAACTAGGATAAAATAATGTGTGTAGGCATGTGTTGTGAATTAGCTGGAAAATGTATCTTGTATGTATAAATATGAATAATCCATGTAATTATTAGTGAATGAGACCAATTGTGTTTTCAGCACATTGTAATGATGTGTGCCAGAAAAATAGCATACATTTGTTTGAAGTCAATATAATATAGTCAATATAAACAAAAACAAAAAAAGTGTTTACGTTTTTTTTTTAATATATACATTTATAACATTCAAGAATGTGCATTTTGGTGCATCATTTATTTTGGCAGATGCTTTAATCCAAAGCCAAACACACTGGGTAAACTATTCCTTCAAGGGAAACCCGCAATATATGTAATTACATCATCAATAAAACAATTTTTGCATACAATAATGTGTTTACATTTTTTAATGCACAAACAGATCCCACTTTATATTAAGTGCATGTACTTACATTTCAATTAATTATTTGATACAATGCACGTATTGTGCACATGCATGTTTTTACACTGTACTCATATTTAAAATATACCATCCTGTAATTACATCTGTAAATAAGTATTGTAGTTAAATCTATTACACAGCCGAACCAGGCTTAAACCTAATCAAACCACCAAACCTGTCCCTAAACTTAACCGCCTGTAATTACATCTGTAAATAAGTATTGTAGTTAAATCTATTACACAGCCGAACCAGGCTTAAACCACCAAACCTGTCCCTAAACTTAACCTCATCCCACCTAAATAGCAGCAAAAGTGATTTGCAATTCAACGTAACACAGTAGCCTATACATTGCACCAAACAACTCATTTTTTGACACAACAAACCAAATATAAAGTGGTACCCATAAACCTTAATATTCATATGCATACACAACAAAATATGCATATACTTGCTTCTACTTCAGACACATCCCTTACAAAAATTAACCATGGTTTTATTGTAGTAAAAGTGTAGTAACAATGTTTTTGATTACCATTAGTATAACCACAGTTTTGCTTTAGTGCTGTCAAACCATTAATCGCCATTAATCGCATCCAAAATAAAAGTTTTTGTTTACATAATATATGTGTGTGTGTTGTGTATATTTATTATGTTTATATAAATACACATGCATAAAACATATATTTTGAAAATATTTACATGTATATATTTATATTCATATGATTGATATCATATATAAATATATTTAATATATAAACGTAACATATTTTTCTTAAATATATACATGCAAGTGTGTGCATTTATATATATATAATAAATATACACAGTATTATGTACAAAAACTTTTATTTTGGATGCGATTAATCTTTTGACAGCACTGCTACAAATACTATGTTTAAACTACAGTTAGTGTAGCAAACCCATGTTTTTTTTTGTTTGTTGTTTTTTTTGTAGTGAAACGATGGTTAATTTTCGTAAGGGGTAGGTGCTCCAAAAGTGCAACCCCCTTAAGAAAAACAAACTGAAATAACTACAGAAGGGCTCAGACATTTTTAGCTTGATGACAAAATGACAAGTCTATCAATCTTCCTTATCCGGGGAAAAGTGGAGGTTTGGAACAGCAATCAATAACGTCACAATTAGTCCCCCTTAGCAGCGAATCACAGGAGCAGGCGCAGCTGGACCGGAGCTCCGCTTGGCCTGCGTCGTGCCAGCTGCCCGTCCTGACATTAGCCAGCTCCTCTCGGGACGCGCTGACATTTCCTCGAGCTCGCGGAGGCCACGTGTGTGTGACGGCGAGTGTGTGTGGGCCGCTCACCTTGACTTAGTGACCTGGAACTGCATCCAAACCGAGGGACTCCCAAAGGCACCGGAGAGATCCACGTGAAGGGCTGAAGTCGAGATGTCTGTCAGCACTCATCAATGTAGTGCTGAGCTAATGACAAGCAAAGAGGCTCTGTGGCCCGGGATGCTTCGGGGAAACTGGGCGGCACGCGTGACCGCAGCTTGGCCGCCATCTGAGCAGATTGCTAAGACTGACTTTAGCCAGTGGCTGGTGGACATGAAAGTTTAAGCACTTGAGTGGCGTGCTGTGATTCATCCAAAACTACTGTGAACCACAGTTTAATTACTCTATATTCTATTTTCCTCTAATAACTCCTCATTGTTATTCATTGAGAAACTACATGGGTTATTACAAAGGAAATGTACGCTGTTTCTTAAAGGGCTAGTTCAGCCAAAAATGACATCATGATTGACAACTTGTATGAGCTGCATGAGTTTCTTTCTTCTGTTGAACACAAAAGAAGATATTTTGAAGAATGTTGGTAACAAAAAAGTTGACGGTAGCCATTGACTTGTTTTTTTTCTTAAACTATAGAAGTAAAATATCTCTATATATTTTTTTCCCGTTTTAGTTTTAATTTAGTTTTAATTTACTAGTTTAAGGTACTGATTTATTTCAGTTAGCTGCCTAGACAATATTTTAAAATATTTGTTTATTTTTAGTTTTTTAATCTAATATTTACATTTTATTATATTTTGGCATTATTTCTATTATTTTTTTAGTTTAAGTTTTAGTAGATTTGTTGCGTATTATTGTCATTTTTAGTAGTTTTTTTTATAATTTTTTAGTGCCGTTTTAGTTTTTTTTTAGTGCACCAAATATAACTAAATTAAAATTAGAAATGTTCTAGCTGAAAAAGAAATTATACTTTATTTTAATATTTATTTTGTCTCAACAGTTTTTTGAGACGAAAAAACTCCACACACACAAACACATATAATGATTTTAATTTTAGTTTCAGTTTAGTATAGTTATCTATAATATCCCTGGTTGCTTCATTTTATGATCATGTCTCACATTACTTTTGTAATTAATGAATTGTATTACAAAATTAAGGTACTACAGTTACACCAGTTAACAAACACTTATAAGTAATGAAAAACAGAAATGTGATCATGCAGAATAAGGCATTAATATGTGCTTTATAAGTTCTAATAAACAGCCAATATGCTAGTAATATGCATGCTACTGTAATAAACAACTAGTTAATAGTGAGAAGTGGTCCCTAAACTTAAGTGTTGCTCATATTCTGTATTCCCAGAGGGAAACTCATTTAAGCACATGCATTTATTCCACAATTTCACATTAACATAAAGACAGCATTGCAGAGAGAGAGAAAATGGTTTGCTTGCACACACCAGAATTACAGGACATGTTTCCTAAAGCAAACCCAAACTGTATGCTTATAGGTCTATTTTGAATAGTTCTGCCTAAAGATGCATTAGATATTGAAAGAAGCATCATTCTATCACAAATGCCATTAAAGACTCAGAGAAGCTACCGTGTTCTCATCTAACCTTGAAATATAACAGATCGATGCTGACGCTAATCGCATCTTTATGACGACAGATATACTGACCATCAATACACTATAACAGCTCATTATCACCATTCACATAGTGGGCTGGAAAAACAGTCTCCTTTCACACATAAAGAGCCTCATAACCTCACAAAAGCACAACACACCTCACCTTAATAGGTACTAACATGCTCCTCTGTCCACTGTAATTTATTTTGCAATCCCCAGAGGAACGTGGGGTAATAACATCTCTATAATATTGTGCTCTTACACTTGGGGATGTTCTCTTTTTCTCTGAAAAATGGCGTTTATGTTGTATGTCTGGAGATAAGTCAAGCAGATGCATTACAAGCAGCTGCGAAACAATACTATTTAGAAGAACTCTGGCATTTTGTGATCATTTATGCAGTGCAATTAAAGCTAAATCACTGGCGCCATACGAGATTTTGTTAACACTTTACAGTAAGGTCACCTTATAATTAGTTAATACATTTATTAAACTTAACTGACAGTCAGCAATTCATTTGTTACAATATTTATTAATTTTTGTCAACATTAGTTAATAAAAAACAACTGTTCATTCCCATACAGCAAATATATATTCAAATATATTTTTAATAATTATATTTCAAAATTGGCTAAATTTTTTTTACATAAATCTATTTTCTACCAATATGCCATTTTTAGCATATTTTAAAAATATATAAATATATATTTTCATAAGCATTTAAAAATATATTTTGCCCTCCATATATTTAAAGTTATATTTAAAAAGTAAATATATTCATATCAGGGTTAATATAGTTAACAAATAAACAAATAAATAAATAAATATATAAATAATAAAATATTTCAGATTCCATTGCAACATTTCTCTATTTCATTTAGTTTAACTTGAAATAAACCAAAACTGAAAAAAAAATATAGAAATATTTAATAACATCAAAAACCTATAAAACCACAAAACAAAATTACCAAAACTTTAACAAAAGTTAACATGAAAGTACAAAATATAAAAATAAAATCTAATTCAAAATTTTAACAAAAACTATAATAGTATCTCAATGATACTGAAATAACACTGAATATGTCACATTTGAAAGAGAAAAATATCTCTTTTCTATATCTCTTGTAAAAATAAATGAAGGGTATTGTAAGATTTATTTTTTTCCCCACTGAAATACATATATATGTGTGTGTGTGTGTGTGTGTGTATACATTTTGGAACTAATTATATTTTCCAATTTCAAAAACATATCATTGAGCCTTACTTCGTCACAACATTTATCAAGAAAAAAATTAAAATGCATTTATCAAGTATTTAGCAAGAAAAAAAATTGCTGTATGGGCAGTTCATGTTAGCTCAGGTCCATTAAATATAACAGATTATTTATAACATGATCATTTATTAAATTATCAAAAAGTATTCAAAATTATCAAAATTATTTTGAAATAAACATTAACTATGATTAGTAAATGTTTTAGTTTTTTTTTTTTTTCATTGTTAGTTCATGTTAATAACTAGTGTAATTAACTATGTTAACCTTACTGGAAAGTTTTACTGAGATTTTTATTAGATAAATACTATTTTCATTATTGCAGTGGCCAATGATTATTTATTGCAACATAGACTCATTGGAAATACATGCCTCTACAGCTACATTTCTGCGAAACACAAAAAATGCACCTATACACACAAATCGCTGCAGATTCCAGTTGAAATGAACGCTAGAGGCAGTGAAACAACTTTTTTTTTTTTTTTCAACTTTTATTCCTTTTCACACATATGATTTGCAGGTCCACAGTTTCGATTTATAAAGCCTAATTTTCGCATAATTACTTAAGGAATATAATGTTATGAATTCAAAACAATTTTAACATTCTGTAAGATTTGAAAACTGATAGTTTTGAACGTTGTCAACACATGTATATGTAAAGCTTTAATCAGACCACTCAGTGTGAGTGCACTTCATTTAAACACTTTCATCAGATGTATTATTCATTTCTTTAGGTGCAACACTTGCTCAAGTGGAAAAGCTGTCATTTTTTGTGGATGAAGTCTTTTATTACTCACTGAAATTACATTGAACTAGAGGTGGACGCTCAGCACTCTACATCACTGAAGCTTCATTATTCCTCCTGAATCTCAGAGCCACAAAATGTTTCCAAAAGATTAAATTCAACTAGATCTTTGCATGTTCTCCAAGAAACATTCACCAGTGCTTAACTAACACTTGTCCATCCAGTTTTAGGTCAGACAGTCCGGATTTGAAATACCATATCCATCTACCAGCACATGCTTAAGCTAATAAATAGTAACATAAATAGTAACACTTTATTTTAAGGACCAATTAAATGGCATGTATATTACTAGCATATTGGCTGTTTATTAGTGCTTATAAAGCCTTATTCTGCATCACCATATGTTAGATCCCTTAATCCACGAGTACCTAAACTTAACAACTACTTTACTTTTAAAAAGCTATTAAAAAGCAACAAATTAGGAGTTTATTGAGACAAAAGCCATACTTAATAGTTAAAGTGTAATCAAATAAATAAATATATGATAATGTTCAAGGTAGTATTAAGTGACGTACATTTTAGACAAAATAAAGTCAATATGGGCTGTTTTGGTCTATTTTGCCAACCGTTGTCTCAGATCAACATGGTAATACATGATTCAGTGTTTTTGAATGAATCAATGATTCTGTAAGCCATTCATAAAGACAACTGCTAAATTTAAAATCGCATACTAGCATACTACTCTTTTTAGCATTTATTTCTATGGCAGAAATACCAAGAGTATAGTATACTAGTACACATGTATGAAATCAAAAAGTCACTTGCTTCATTCCTGAATGAATCGCTTGAATGATTGAATCAACAACTCAATCATTAAGACAGTGTCTGGTCGCCACCTGCTGGTGGTTTTAGTTTCATATTTAAAATATAATTTCAGAGTTCCATACTCATTTTATTTCATATTTAAACATTAACCTAATAACATTATTTATGCAATTTTAACTGTAGTGTAAATGCATTCATAGCCTCTCTGAGCTGCATTAAACAGTCTGTGTAAATACATCTAAATGCCACTTCAGATGCGGCTTCTCTGCCACTTGATTTCATTTCATTTCTATCAGCCCTATAGTGTCTTCTCTAAATTGCAATTTTATATACAGTATATTTGAATGTTCACACTTTATTTTAAGGTCTTGGTCTCACTATTCACTAACTATTAACTACAACGTTTGCCTCAATATAGACTGCTAATGGATAGGATTAAGGATGTAGATTATGGTCATGCAATATATGTGCTTTATCAGTACTAATAAGCAGCCAATGTGCTAGTAATAGGCATGCTAATAAGGAACTAATAAAGCGAGAATTAGTCCCTATACTAAAGTGTTAAGCCCAATTTATACTTCTGCATTGAACCTATGCTGTAGCTATACCCTAGGCTGAGAGTAGTACGGCGTAGCCTGACGAGCACCTCTCCAAAAATGACACAGCGCATCAATTCTACACGGACCGCAAGCACTGTGATTGGTCTAATAGAACCCCTCCCTCCATATGTATTTGAGTTTTGTGTGTGTTTTTGGCACTTTAATATACTTTAATGTCACACCTTCTTATTTAAAATAAAACAAAGCAAAGAACAAGTGTCTTATAATTTATTATACAACATAGCATTATACATCACTTTGTTGTCCGCGACAAACAATGTTGTTCTGCCATTGTACAAGTCCTTGTGGAGATTGAAAGAGTGTCATCTTCTCCTGTTCCGTTTTCGTCTCCTTTTTTGTAGTTTTAAATAAATGATCCGTTCTTGGATATTTATTCAAAGCCACTAGAAGTCAAGCCTGCAACCATTAGCTGTAAAAATATAACGGCTAAAGCTAACGCTTCCGGTCTGGCAGTACATGGGAAAGGAGACCAGAGGCCGTTTTTTTTAATGGATGTCAATGGAGGAGAGGCTTCACAACGCTGAATAAACAGCTTTTTAGAGGAAACGGCTTATCATTTAATGAATCGACAGCCTATCTGCTAATCTTCAACATGTTATGCACTAAACAATACTTTTGGATTTAACTATTTTTAGAGTTTACCACAAAAAAATGCTGTTTTATAAGAGAAGTCACTGACTTTTTGCGCCAGGTGGGATTCAGCTTACGGCACTTCTCATTCATTCCTATGGGATCCATAAACGGTGACTGAGTGTCGCACAACTCTGACTGAAAATCAATGACGTCAAGGCTGTAATGTGATTGGTTATTAGGGGACACGTGATCCGAGTTAGCCGTTACGCTTTCTCCAATAGTAAGTAATACAGACCCTCTCATCTCCCTATAGTAAGACAATCTCTGATATATTTGCCGCCGTCAAGTTGCTTCTTCTTTGGCTTTTGCCTTGACACTGCGGGTTACACCAGTAACATGTCTGTGGACACTGCAGACTAGCGGTCTGCATGTGTAACTGCACGTTGACGTGGACAACGACACAGAAGTATAAATAAAAACCGATGCACAGCCTACGGCGTAGAGGCTACAGTGTATGCCCAACACAGAAGTATAAATCAGCCTTTACCATTTGAACTTACATGAAAGATGGCATACATTTAATAAGGTTAGAAAATTCATCCTTATAAAGGTTAAAAAAAAGCCCCTGGGAAAATATCATCCTGTATTGGAAATGTTTATTTTTTTTGTCACCTTTTTAGTGTTACAGATCGCTGAATGATCCAGAATTAAAGTTAGGTATCCAGCACAACATTTCGAAATGATTTGATAAGATCAAACTCAGTGAACTCAGTGTACTACTTCTATCTTGCCTGTTTGTAAAGGCGTTCCTCAGGGGTCAGTCCTAGGACCCATTTTATTTTCTTTATAATTAAATAACATCTGTGATAATATATCTAATGCTATGTACCATCTTTATGCAGATGACAGATTAGGGACACATATTCAATATTATTTACTAAGAGTTTTCCCTCAATAAACTCCTAATTTGCTGCTTATTAATAGTGAGTACAGTTGTTGTTAAGTTTAGGTATTTGGTTGGGTTAAGGGATCTAGAACATGCATAATAACACATTAGTATGTGCCTAATAAATACTAAAAAACAGCCAATGTGCTAGTAATATGCATGCTAATAAGCAATTAGTTACTAGTGGGAATTGGACCTTAAAGTGTTACCCTCGTTATTTATTGTTGTGCATAATCAGCATCATAAGCCCTTCAGTACTTGCAGTCAGCATTTGATATTATACCGTCTCGTTTATGCCAACTTAAACTGGTGTCAAATATGCATAAAACTAAATTAATTATATTTTCGAAAGCTCTAGCTTTGAATCGTTCTAATATTGCATCCTCCCAAGGAACAAAAATTGAATGTGTTAGAAACATCTGGGTATTATTTTTGATAGTCAGTTATATTTTAAGCTTCATATCACTGGTCACTGAGATTTTAATCTCAACAAGTTTTTTTAACCAGGTTAAATAAAAGAATGAATGAACAAAATAAACGCACCGATTCCTTTCAGCGAAAGTGCATTTCTGAAAGATCTGGTGCTTTGCAATGCTTCATTAGCGTGTTGCTTTTGTCACTTAAATGACATTCATTGTCACCTTTGCATGTTCAAGTTGTTTAAATCGTGGACTTTGAGAAATGAGCCTAACATAAATCAAGGCAAGAAGACAACAACTTTGTCGACTGAACGTAATGCCCGTTGAGCGCTGGGAACTTGAGCGGAGTGCAAAGTTTTCTAAAATAAACATCATTTGTCAAGTTTCAGTAGCTTGCCACTTTGGGGACAGATGTAAATGGATGAAATAGAAGTTGCTCGAGGCGTGTAAAGTGAGAGCTGATCAAAATCAAATGGCAGAACATAAAGTTGACCTGAGCTGTCCTCATATTCAAACTCCAGAAAGATCCATCAGGCCCTTGGCAAACATCCATCACTGACATACTGTCATCTCAGCATTTAGCCTCCAACTGTAGATTCTCATACTTACAAACAATGAAATCATAGAGGAGAGGAGATCTCTCTGCCCAAGGCTTTGAACACCCCTCCAATTACTCCTGCCAAGAGCCCGCACATAACTGGCAGTGTATTAACAAGCAAATTACATTAATTAGTGGGTACAAATGGATGAGGAATGATGAGGGATGCTGGCATCATTTGCATTTCTTCAGTCTGGTAGTATAATGGAAGTAAATTAGAGGACAGAATTTCAGATCTTCACATTCATGCTGCAAATTAATCATGATGTGCAAAACTGCCTAGTCTAAGCTCAGGCTTAACAGATCAATCAGAGGATTACAATGACTGTTTTTAAGGTGTAATCATAAATAATAATGGTATGGCTAAGAGGGCACACAATGAAGCATTCTTTAAGATTAAACTCAATTTACTTCAGCATATTCGGCAACTTGTTTTCATCCACGATTGGGCATATTTTACCGGAATGCAGCCGGACTGATTTAATACCTAAATAACTGCCACGTTCAGATAAGAAGGAAGAGATGAGGATCTTTGCAGCAGTTTTTAATTAAAATAAACACACCAATCCAACAGGCAAGGGAGAAACAGCTTTGTGCAAAAACTAAGACATTAACCAACAATGAACAGAACAAACTCGGGAGCATAAATGCACAGGACAATTAAAAAATAAACTAGACACAGGTGAGGAACATCATCAGTAACCAAGGCTACAAATAAGAACATACTTAGATACCATGACAACCAAGAAAGCAGGAACTTACGACATCAACTGTGAGATCAGGAACAGGAGTCCTTGAGAGCAGATGTGACAGTAATATTATAGACTACTAAACCAAGCAATTTGCTTTGTTGGAATAATGTGAACTGATGAATCCTTCACAATATGACCAGGAGCCAGTGTTATTTTAGTACCACTGAGATACTATTATAGTATCTCTATAGTATCTATAGTATATAGTATAGTATCCCCCCCCCCCATTTCCATTTTCATTAAAATTTTAATTAAACTTTTATTATTCTTTTAAATAGGCCTGTGTAGTTTTTAGGCACTTTTATTTCAGTTTTATTTTATTTATTTCAGTACATCAAGTTAAAACCTAGCTAAAATAAAAATAAAGTTTTCATTTATTTATTTCCTATATTAACCCTACCAGGACAACATATGCAGGGTCTATGGTCAGTTTTGATTTTATGCTGGCTTGAATGGCACAGAAACATTCAACAAGCAGACTGTACCATTATCAAGATGACCATTTTGTTATCTGAAAAACATGACATTAAAACCTGTGAAATTAATTTGACTCGCTACTGTATGTATCTAAGGAGGCAAAAGCCCTAAACAAACAATATAAAAGGACAAAAGTGAATAATTGGGAGAATCCTGCATGTGGAAAACAGTAAAACATTGAGTTCAAATTAAAAACAAAACCACACACATGGTCACTTACAGAAACACAGTTATTGACTGCTGAGCAGTTTATCATGACACACTGAATTCAGTTAGCATCATTCAAATATGAGTTTGTAACTCATTTTAATTTCACAAATATTAATGTTGTTAATTTGGGCTACCAGTAACAGAATAATACTCAAGACATTTTACCATGTTCCGTTCCATTCTAAGATGTCCTCCCAAAATCAGTGCAGAAAATGCAAAACAGTATACTGGACTCTGATTCTGTGATTACGATGCATGTAGTTTTAGCTATATGAAGATAGTAGCACACTACATTGGTAATGCTGACGTGGTGATTTGAACTAGGCCATTCAGCTCTCCGCACATTAGTTATGCACACACGTGCACAGTGATGGATGAAATGTTTGCACTTGAGAAATACATCATGAGAAGCATTTTACCTCAAAGCTTTAGCTGCAGGAGTAAAGCAGAGGGAGCGGCTGCTGTTAAATGAGAGGTTAGTGGTTGTAATGCAGCCATTTGTCCTGTTGTGGTTTACCACAGATAACTAATAAGGCATGTTAGGACAGAGTATCATCTTTACACCGCCACCGGTTTGATATCTCACAGCTGAATTCAATGAGGACTGTTATTCAGGCCAGCAATTTTGTGTAGACGACATAAAATCCATTGAGTTCCCTTTATTAAGCAGGAAGGACCCCCCCCCCCCATTTCCATTTTCATTAAAATTTTAATTAAACTTTTATTATTCTTTTAAATAGGCCTGTGTAGTTTTTAGGCACTTTTATTTCAGTTTTATTTTATTTATTTCAGTACATCAAGTTAAAACCTAGCTAAAATAAAAATAAAGTTTTCATTTATTTATTTCCTATATTAACCCTACCAGGACAACATATGCAGGGTCTATGGTCAGTTTTGATTTTATGCTGGCTTGAATGGCACAGAAACA